CGGTATCACACACACTCCGGACGCGTCGCGTTCAACTCGAGCAGCGGTCTAAAACAGTTTATTTAATCACCAAACGGACACAAGTTTACTTCAAGAATGAACAATTTGGCATAGATGAGTTTGAAGTTCGGTGTTTAAAAAACGGAGCAAACGGAAAGAGAAAGCGCGGCCTATATTATAGCTCTATAAATGAAGCACACAGACTTTATTCGAGCCACAGAAAGACAAACGTTTTGCTGAAAATGCACAATACACAATTCATTATGTACATTAACAGCGATTCGGGACCAATATAATGTAATTTAAAGGAAAACTATGTGAATGGTGCGGCAGGAATGTTCTGTCGGCTGCATTTAAATCCGCGTCTGAAGTTTTCCGCTCTGTTCAGCGTGCAGTATCACGCGTCTAAACAAATAGCACGTGCTGTCAGTGATTTCAACCACTAGAGGCCACTCTCGCACTGTATAAACAGCAGACCCTTCTCAGCCGCTCCAGCAATGGACGCAACCCGGAAAACTATCGGCATGGATTTTTGTCGATAACCGATAGTTCCAGCAATCAACTATCGGCAAACCGATACATCGGTCGACCTCAAACAAACAAACACACAAAAACACACACACACAGTAGTCAACATTTGAATTGGATCAAAAAAGTTCATCAAAGTTGTCCTAAGACAAGAACGCATTATGGTTTTAGGACAACTTTGATGAAAGGTTTTGATCCACTTCAAATGTTGACTACTAATACATACATACATACATACATATATATATATATAAATAAAACACCTAAATGTATTTTGGGTGTTTTCTTTCCACTAGTCTGAAAGACAGCATGTCATGGAAGCAAAATATACCCCAAAAAAAAAAAAACACAAACTTGATCAGTACATGAAAAAATATTTTTGCCTGTAGTGACAAATATTTTTCTCCTGCATTTTAAAATGGCTTTGAGGTGACAACTGCACTTAAGTGTAAAAACTTAATGTAGTCACACAACATGATAAAACGTATAGATTGTAAATGACTTACTTGGCCATATTGGATGTTCCAGTGGAAGGAGATTCTGGAAAGCAACAGAAAAAAAAAAATCATTATAACGTTCTCAATGTGACGTAATGTTATAAGATCAGACGTATCCGCAGAAGTCATGCTTACGCTGAGGTTTGTCCGGTTTGCTGGGTACAGAACTTTTCGTAGGCTCAGCTACAGCAAGCGACTTTGGCTGTGGTTTGGTGTGTGTTGCGGTTCTGAGTTGATCTGGATTGACGTCCTGATCTCCTGGACACATGGTTTTCACAGAAACTGGGAGTCCGATGGGTTTCTGCTGATTCACGGGACGCTGAACGCGCTGCGGCCCCGGAGCCGTGCTGAGAACACGCGTCGACACGGGCTTCTGACCGCTCTGGGTCACCGGGACTCTCTTGGGTCCGCCTGCAGAAACCTGCAGAACATGAACACATCACACGTGTGTCAAAAACACATACATGCACGAAAAATTAGTCACTGTGATAATTATACTATAAATAACTCTGGACAAGAGCATCTGCTATGATGATGCACTATTTACCTTCTGTAAATACAGATCTGAACATGATTCAGCGTCGCCTAAATCTAAACGCATATAGAGAACACAAAGAAATAGGAAAACTAGGAGTATTAATACAAAGTCCACTTTAACGGAGATGAAACAGCAAAAAAAGTGACATCTTAAAATTAAATGCTCCTGAAATATCAGATGAAAAGTACTCTTCATGAGAACACACACACACAAATGAGCTACAGGCAATTGTGTTTAAAGGGAAAAACATTCAAATAATGATTTTGATTGCTAGATAAATGCAAAAAAAAAAATTTCAGTTTCACTGAATCAAAAATATCATTGTATTTCTACTGTTTTTTTTCTGTCATTTTCAAACCGTCTCGTAAATAAATAAATGAAGAGTTCATTTGCAAAAACGGATAACTCTGTTTTTAACAAATTTTTTTTTTCATTGTGCATTCCAATTAATCTCAATCAAACTGCAGCTGGATTATTTTGATTAGATTAAAAAACTAAATACAGCTAACCAACACTTTAACAAAATTAAAAATTAAAAGTTCTGTTTTTGCAAATAAACTCTTCAAATGCATCATCTGCTAAATAACAGCTCACTCTTTACTTTCTAGTGAATACAGATGTGAACATGAAATGTAGCATTGCCTATATGTAACAGCATTTAGAGAACAGATGAAAACTACTTTGTGAAGGTCAGTTACAGGAAATAGTTTTGAAAAAAAATGAAACATTTAAATATTCAAATTATGGTTTTTGGTGGATAGACGATTGCAAAACGTATATAAACAAACAGTATGCAGACTTGCTGAGAATAAACACACATACAGTTTCTCTCAAATACCTTCTCATTATCAGGTCGGTTAATCTTCAGGTCTTTGCTCGATTTGGTTCTTGCAGCGGTTTCCATATTCTGAGTTTAAACAACGATATTATTTGATTAAATACAAGAAATGCATCAGAACGAAACAATCTCAGTCACATAATGAGTCCAAGTAATTCAGTCCAATATAGAACAAAAATATAACGATTATAAAGCACGAGGGGAGATTGAGGCCTGACACACGATGGCACCCGTTCAGATGACTACAAACTAACGTTCCCATCAAAACATGTTGATAACGTAAACCTATATAAAACAACGAACTTTTTCAAATTAAAGCCTTTAAAGAAATGAATCCGTCGATAATAAATAAATTCAGACGCGTTTTCTCGTCGTAAGTAACGTTAACGTTACCTCCTTCAGCCGATTCCACACGAAATATCCTCCTCAAATCCGACAGAAACGCGATGATTTCCCCCTCGCCGTGTTAATAACCCGCTACCATTCGCTGAACCAGCCGTGTGTGGTGTTTAATTTCGAGAATAATCATTAAAATATATACTTTCATTCCCAGAGAGGACGACGCTGTTCTCCTCAGCCGCTGCGATCCTGGCCTGTTTAATTTCAAATATCCCACTTTTAAACGCCTTTAAGCATTGTCTGGTTTCTGATTGGTCAGATGGAATGATAAGCTGGAATCCTATTGGTTGTTGGAGAATTCGTCATGTGACGCAAGGGCTCCGCGAGCGAAGCCGGGAAAACGCATTGTTATATTATTATTAAATTATTATTGAACAGGCTTTATGAAAAATAGACATATTAGTAACAATATTCGTCTTGTTTTTGACCGTTTAGACTATTCCGACCTGATAGAGTCAGGGGCTCTTATTTTGTTTTTAAAGTTTTGGGGTTTGGGAATAACTTCATTAATATTATAGAAATGTTTTACAAGGATATTAATAGTTCTATTATTCGGAATAAAGATTTGGAATCCATCGTGGTGTACGCCAAGCTTGTTTCTTTTGTTTTTATTTGAATAGAACTTCTCTCTATTCAAATTTTCATATTATATATAGATATCAATAAATCCTTCTTAGATTTGATATGGAAAAATAAACCTTACCAGTTAAAAAAGGACATGATATCAGGCAAAAGAGTAGAAGGTGGTTTAGAGATGATTGATTTTATTGACATTAACAATACTTTTAAAATTAACTGGTTAAGAAATTGTCTAAAAAATGATTTTTTTTTATCCCACAATGTATCTTTTCTTCTGAAATGTAACTTTCTTCCAGGAAAGTTGCTTATTAAATTATCTAAATTTCACCTGCAGGTATTTCTGGCTCGGAAAATGTGTTTCCATCACAACTTTTCTCCACATAAAAAGCTTTTATGCAACAACTGTCTTATTACTTCTAGGAATAAATCGTTATTTTTGCATAGGTGGTTTGAAAGGAATATATTTTAGTTATGTTCTATGAGAGAGGAAACATTGTGTCTTATGAGGACTTTATGCATGCATGTCTTTGAAGAATTTCAACAAGTGGTTAAAGCTGTTCCAAATGGGCTGATGCAACTAATAAATAATCACCTCTCTTTTGGCAATGAAAGGATATTTCCAGACTTAAAAATTAATGGTATTGAAATATTTTCTTCCTCTTGTAATAATACAAATATTAGACAAATGTTGCAATCAAATCATAAAATCTCCCCTAGAAGAAAGTTCTTTTGGAATGCAAACATTTCTGATATTAATTGGAAAGCGACCAAATCCTTACAAATGTTGTATTTTGAATAAAGCTAAAGAGGTGCATTTCAAAATACTTCACAAAATGTATCCATGTAAAGTAGCTCTTTCTAAATTCATGGACTTTGACAATACTAGCAGTTTTTGTAACACACACGAGGAAGACTTGTGTCATTTGTTTTATTTGTCTCTTAGATTTTGGTCTGATGTTAGTGCCTTTCTATTTCTGCGAAGAAATGTTAATTATGTGTTATCTTTAAAAGATGTTATTTGTACTTATTCACACAAAAGTAAAATGATTATGTCGTTAACTTTTAGTTTGCAAGGTAAATATTATATTCATAAACAGAAATTTGAGAAATGCATACCAAAGTGTAATCTATTTTTTATCAGAAATGGAAGCTTTGAAAAAGTCTCTAATGCAAATTAATAACAAAAAGAATGACATATTGTTAGATTTCATGGAGATTTTTTTTCCTGATATAGCTCCCCCGCTGCAATCTGTGAATATGTCTTACGGAAAAAGGAAGAAAATTTGAACTATTGTTTAGTTATGTTTTTTTAATTTTATTTTTACAATGTGGTTATTTGTTTATTTTATTTATTTTTCTTCTGCAGTTTAAGATTGCTCTTATATTTTGTGTAACTGGATTTACTTGTTAATATTTTTGTTTGTTCAATCATTCTTCTTTAATAAAAATTAAAAACTGTTCAGGCTGTTTTTAAACCCTGAACTGTTTAAAAACTAGATTTAGGGGCGTGAGCAAAAAGTAAATGTTACACTATATCCAACTGTATTATATTCAAATATATTAAGTTTAAAAATAAATATTTAGATTTCCAATTTTTTGGGAGATTTTAGATTATTTTTCAAATTCACTTTATTTAAAAAAAATTAATCTAAAAAAATGTTAAAACTAAAATATAAATAATAAAATAAGTTACGCTTAAATGGCTTCTTTTTATTAGAATTATTTAGATCAAATATAATTCAGAAGGATGCTTTGTCTCTGCTGAAAGAAACTGCATGTTTTGTTTTGTTTTACTATTCTGTCATCAAGGATATGATTTTATTTATTAAAGCAGCTCTATGTAACTTTTGTCGCTCTAGCGGTTAATAAACAGAACTGCACACATCCCGCGGAAGAACATTCCAACCGGAGCTATTTCTCTAAGTTTATGTCTCTGGCGATTCACGCACAGAAGGTCTTCGATGCCATTTCAGTCGAGAAGGAGACGCAAGAACACACAGAAGCACCATCTTCACCGTCGCATTCAGTAAACACATCTGAAGAGCTTCAGGATTGAGATTTATTCATGTTACCCATCGCTGACGATGAAGATAATGACGTCGTGATTCATGGATGCATGAAATAACATAAACCTACCAAAAATAAATAAATAAATAGAATGTATTTCACCCTCTTCTGATGTTTCCCATCATCACATCCGGATCCAACACCCCACTTACAGTCACAGCAAGAGCACAAATGTTCACTACCGAGGGAAGGAGACATTAACATTATATAGCACATTCTCGATGATGATGATGATGATGATGATGATCTTCAGTGCTCAGCGTCTGAAAAATCCAGCGAATCCGCGATGGTCCTCTTCAAATCTAGTCTGGATTAGTTTGTTCCCTTCCTTGATGCTTGGATTAAGTGTAACTAGTATAATAGTAGTTAATATTACTAACAGTTTTCAAGTGTATAAGTGCTGGTGAAGCGTCCAACAGCTGCGCTCTCTGACTGTAAGAGTCATGTGTAACAGAGCTGAATGGTTTGGCATACGCTCCTCTTCCATCATCGCATCAGAGAGCATGTGTGTGTCCCGTTATACTGATTCATTAAAACTAGGTTTGAGAGTTTGTCGGTCGATGTTAAAGCTCAGGCCGTGTCCCCGTCAGCCTCTAATGTAGACGCTTGAGTGCACAGGACGCCGAGAACGAACTTCCACCACTGGAGAAAGACGCGTGGAGAAGAGCGGCGACAGAGAGGAAGGCGGTCATTTCTCGGTGACGGCGGCGGCGGCCATAGGTGTCCTCAGGGTTCCTCTGGCTGTGATGGCGAGCTCCTCGATCTCTGTGTTCAGACGTCTGATCACCCACTCCATCGCCTCACGACCCTGCGGACGGACACTCACAATCAGACTGAGCACGTCATCTTTTTAACCAATGAACATCCAATATTGCTCTAGCTGTTTGTGATGAACTGGGTGAATTCATCTCATAAGGCTCAATTTTTTGAAATTGAGATTTATGCATCATCTGAAAGATGAATAAATAAGCTTCCATTGATGTATGGTTTGTTAGGACCGGACAATATTTGGCTGAGATACAACTATTTGAAAATCTGGAATCTGAGGGTGCAAAAAAATCTAAATATTGAGAAAATCATCTTTAAAGTTGTTCAAATGAAGTTCTTAGCAATGCATATTACTAATCAAAAATTAAGTTTTGATATATTTACGGTAGGAAATTTACAAAATATCTTCATGGAACATGATCTTTACCTAATATCCTAATGATTTTTGGCATAAAAGAAAAATCTATAATTTTGACCCATACAATGTAACAATATGTAAATATTGTTGAAAAATAACAAAAAAAAAGTTTATTGTTAAAAAACAATGAAAAATAACATAAGTGGGTTTTAACTGTATTTTGCATAAAATAAAATAACTTAATTTATCACATAATATCTTACCTAATCTATTTGTTCAGAAAATCATAACACTGTAAAATCGTAACATCACATCTCTGACCATAACATTGCATTTAATTATCACATCTCATCTGATTATCATATGGCATCTCTGATTGTAACATCTCATCTCTGATCATCTTTTCTCACTTCATTAAGTCTTACCTCATCACATCTCATCTCTCATAACATCTCAATTCTGTTTATCACCGCTAATTTCTGACAATCACATCTTATATTTGGTTATCCTACTTAATGTCAAGTCATCATTATGCCTCATCATCTCATCCATGATCATAACATCTGGTCTGATTATCACATCTCATCTCTGATCATCTCCCATCGGATTATCATCTCTCATCTCTGATTGTAACATCTCATCACTAACCATCACATTGCATCTGATTATCACATCCCATCTCAGATCACATCTCATGTGATTATCACATCCCATCTCTGATCATAACCTCTCTTATACGATTAGCATTTTTCATCTCTGAATGTAACATCTTATCTCTGACCATCACATTGCATTTGATTATCACATCTCATCCCTAATCATATCTCATCTCTTATCATCTCATTTTACCTCATAACATCTTACATCATCACATTTCATCTGATTATCACATCACGTCCTTCATCAATAATATCTCATTTCTGATCATCTCATAATATTTTACCTAATCCATTTCATCAAATAATCTAATCTCACCAGATTATCACATCTAATCCCTGATCACATCTCATCTCAGATCATTTTATCTTACCTCATAACGTCTCGCAACATCACATTTCATCTGATTATCACATCTCATCCCTCATCAATAACATCCCATTTCTGATAATCTCATAATATTTTACCTAATCCATTTGATCTGAAAATCATAACATTGTAAAATCGTAACATCTCATCTCTGACCATCACACTGCATCTGATCATAACATCTCAGATCATCAGATTATATATATACCGTTCATAACATCATCACATCTCATCTCTGACTCATCTCTGGAGATCTCACTGTCACGTCATCTCGTATCATCTACTATTCTCTGTGATTATCGAGTGTTTTGCAAACCCTCAAAGGGGTCGTGAGCTGAACTCAGTTCTGAGAGAAACTGTGCCGTCTGAATACGTGACTGGAATCTAAAGCCGTTTCTCTTCATAATGTTCTGAGCACCAGAGCAATCAAAACACACCTGCAGGGGCTTCTCGACCTCCACAAAATACTTCATAAACATGACTCCTCATAAACTCTTTATATATGAATATGAGAGAGGGATGTGGGCGTGTTTGTGTGTGGAGGCTCCGCCCCTCTCACCTGTGTAGTCGTGGAGACACTGGCAGGTGAAGCCTCCCTCGTGGCTGCGGCAGACGCCGTGAGCGCCGCAGGGTTTGGAGTAGCACAGGTCGATTTCCGTCTCGCAGTAGTCGCCCGTGAAGCCGAGCGGACAGCGGCAGCGCAGCCCTGCGATCGGGTGGATTGGCCGGAACAGGATGGTGTCGGACGCCACGAACGGCGCCAGGCTGTCGAACTTCAGCACGGATACGCACTTCATGTAGTTCTCGCACGGCTCGCGCAGGCAGATGTTGTCGTCGAACGGGAGCACCTCCTGCAAAAAAACAACAACTTAGGGGTGTACAGGTACACAAACATGACGGTTCGATACGAAGCTCGGTTTTGACGTCACGGTTCGGTATGGTTTCAGTGCAGCAGGAGGAAAAAGCTAAACATAACTTGCTTTTTTTTAAATTAAACAATGGTTTACTGAACAAATTGCTCTTTCTTTAAATAAATTCAATTGGAATTTGTATTTTCTTAGGGATACAAATCTACCTCAGCTTCTCTGAACTACAGGGAGCACTTTTACATTACTATACGGTTACAATAAACAACAGAGCCCAAACTTAAATTCAATTACTATTTGTGACCCTGGAGCACAAAACCAGTCATAAGGGTCATTTTTGTGAAATTGAGATTTATGCATCATCTGAAAGCTGAATAAATGATCTTTCCATTGATGTATGGTTTGTTAGGACCGGACAATATTTGGCTGAGATACAACTATTTGAAAATCTGGAATCTGAGGGTGCAAAAAAATCTAAATATTGAGAAAATCATCTTTAAAGTTGTTCAAATTAAGTTCTTAGCAATGCATATTACTAATCAAAAATTAAGTTTTGATATATTTACGGTAGGAAATTTACTAAATATCTTCATGGAACATGATCTTTACTTAATATCCTAATGATTTTTGGCATAAAAGAGAAATGTATAATTTTGACCCATACAATGTATTGTTGGCTATTGCTACAAATATACCCCAGCGACTTAACACTGCTTTTGTGCTGCAGGGACACAAATGTGAACCATTTGAAAGGAACGGACACAACCGAGTCACGTAATCATATCACAACCAAACCAGTGGGTATGTGATATATCGCCCGATATTAAACTCTTTTTATTTAACTTTTTATTTTTTTTGCCAATGTGTTGGACTTTCATTTGGATTTTTAGGACTTTTATTTTGACAGTGCTGAGAATGCTAGCAGCTGAGCATTAGCAGTCCTAGTTTAGTCTCAGTTTAACAGTTTTGTCAAATAAATTATTTGACTTAAGTATCTCTATTATTTGTAATAACCTTGTTTTATTCAAAAAATATTATTTCCAGTGCACACAGATTTATCAGATTACTACCAGATTTTTGTCTTTATTTGTGGAAAATATTGCAATCGAATTAGAGAATCAGTTTCCATTTAAAGTATAAATATGATTGTTATATAATGTATTTTTATAAATGTACATTTTTTTATATAGTAATTTTTTAATTTAGTAAATATTATGTGGGAAAAAAATAATGATCAATTCTGCAATTTTGCATGTATTTTTACTATAATAGTGTAATTAAAAATATAACATTTATTTATTTATTCACTTTTTAACGCCATGCCAGCATCAAGGCTATTTTCATGGGGATCTCTGAATAAATTATACAAGGTATACAATTAACAAAAGGTTATAAAAGACATTTCAGACGTTAAAAAAATATAAAATAAAAATATTGATTGACCACTGAGCAATGAAGCGGATGAAACAATTTAGAGCCAAGAAAAACTAGAAAAGAAAGAGAACGCATATTCACTGTAGAAATGTGCATGACTTTGAGGCCTAGAACCTTCTCTGGCGCGTCCAGGGTTTTTGTTTTATGATTTATTGGAGACATTTCACCTCTTGATGTGAAATTCAATTTTTTTACAAATTTGTCCTTCACCTTCTAAAGTTTTGGGCAGAACTGTCAATAGCTATGTTTCCTTCCACCTATTTTTATGCGCTAAAAAAACCCCCGCTGGATGGAAACGCCAAGATGCACATAAATTCTAAAAAATGCGCATTTAAAAAAACGTATGCGCACATTTGAGTAGGATAAACTTTTTATCCAATATAAAAAAGCGTGCATAAACTACGATGGAAACACATTTACTGAATAACTTCCACCATGCGCATCGAACAGTCATGTGATTTGCGCTATGAGACGGGATAACTCGACTAACCAGCGGACCGATCTCGTTCACAGCATCTATATGTTGTTCTGGTCGTTCTGAAAGGCCTGAGCAAAGCCTGTCGTTAAAGTATTTCTGTATAATTGTCTTAAACGACCGTGTTGCGCACATTTGAGTAGGATAAACTTTTTATCCAATATTTTAAAAACCTGCATAAACTAAGCCGGAAACACATTTACTGAATAACTTCCACCATGCGCATCGAACAGTCATGTGACTGCGCTATGAGATGGGATAACTCGACTAACCAGCGGACCGATCTCGTTCACAGCATCTATATGTTGTTCTGGTCGTTCTGAAAGGCCTGAGCAAAGCCTGTCGTTAAAGTATTTCTGTATAATTGTCTTAAACGACCGTGTTCCCAAACAGCAGCATCCTCCTCCGAAAGCATTGACCGCATTTACTGTGTTTCGTCTGCTCGCTCTGAGGCGCAAGTCATTTATCACATATTAAAATTATTATATTCAGTGGCTTCTCCTAGTTTTCTTTGTGATATTTAGAGCCAGTTTATCAGGAAGTGATGCTTTTGTTCTCTTTGATCCGTTGCATGGAAACGGTGCTAATGTTTTATGCGATATTCCAGTTTTGCAACTTTGGATGGAAACACAGCTAATGATTGGTGAAGTGTGTTTTGGTTTGCTGACCTTTCCTGCATTGCTGGAGATGCTGGAGGCCATGAGTCCCTCCAGATAGCTGCTGAGACTGACGCCCTTCACAGAGATGATGGCCTCCTGGGTGAGCATGGTCCTGCAGGAACATAAACGGATACGCAACATTACACCACGGAGAACCTCAAACCCATGGCTGACGAGCTCGTTAAACACATTCAGATCAGAAACCGTGAGGAATCTTACTTTTCCGGGTCCTCTGGGTGCGGTCGGTAAACGAGCCGCTCGTCCACAGACACCATGTTAGTGAAGGTGATCTACGGTGAGAAAAGCAGAGCATGATGGGTATGACACACTCTCAGAGTATGCTGTTTACAACCATAACAGACACCAAACGCCCTCCCAGTCCTTCCTAGAATGCAACTCTATTACACACAGACAGGCAATCACACAAACTCAGTGCTCTCGCTTTATAAAGACTATAGTGCTACAGAAAGGCCTGAGGATGAAGAACAGGGATGTGTGAGAGAAGACAGACTGATATGGTTACAGCATCCTGATAATAAATTATATGACTTACATTAGTGGACTGAAGCTCAAAGGTTTTCTCTTTGGGATCGACTACGGAGTGCTCCTGGATGTACGTACATGTCCGCATGTTGCCAATTATCTGCGATAAAACAAGACAGCAGTTTAATGAATAACTCATTTATTAATAACCATCATTGAACAGCATAACAGAGTGTGTGATTTAAAGCCACGTTCTGTTTCAGTCGGCGTAATAATCCTGAACTCAGAACAGAACAAGATCAACTATTATTAACCCAGCAACACTCTACCATTACCCTGACCTATACTAGTACAGACTATTTACAGAACATTACTCCCGTCATGTGAACATGGTTCAGATCTCATTCATTTCTCAAAAAGACGCCACTATGGTGATAGTTTCCGACAACAAGAACACTAAACGAATGAAACGGAGCAGTGACTTCATTTGGGTTTGATTGTTTACACACACAAACATTTGTTCGTAATGTGTGGGTGATCCGCTTTCAAAGACTAATTATAGCAAACAATCAATTCAATATGTTGAAGTAACAAGAAACAAGAAACTCAAAACTCTTATCTGCTCAGATCTCTTAGTGTTTAAAGAGAGTGTTTGTTTGTAGCACTGAAACATGCATTTTCTATAAAGCCGCTTTGAAGCAGCATGTACTGTGGACGGCACTAAATAAATCAACTTGAAGGCCTGGAATTCAAAATCCCTTGAACTGGACTTTCATCATTCCTCATTATTGCCGAGTTAGAGAAGTACTAAGTAAAAACAAACTGACTCCAGCTCTAGGAATCATACCGGAAAGTTCTGGCCTCGTAATAACCTCGGACGGTCCTTGAGCAGAATGAATGTCATGGTCAAGGGTGACAGGCACAGGTCACATTCAGAGTCACTTCATTCAGAAACGAGACACCAGGACGACATGTTCTGAGGACTAACCAGACCGATATAACCACTCAGTCAGGTCAGAGACCAGCACACTGAAGAACTGAGGTTACATCCACTATGAATCAGGTCAGGAATAGCTGAAGTCTTCCCATAGCTGGGATGTGAACATCTCAAAACGGCAGGACTGATCCTCAGAGGATTTAGGTTTCCACCAAACGTGACGAGAACAATGAGCTACTGAGAGCTTCTTACGGTTTCCAGATTAAAGTCAGCTGCTTGCTTTAATTCCACGAAGCATGCAAACAAGCAGATTTGTAGGGATGCACCAAAATGAAAAGTCTTGGTCGAAGCCGAACAAAATGAAACACTGAGCCGAGGACCGAATACACGGATTTTCACCATATATCTTGCCAATTTTTTTCACCATTGCATAAATTAGATAGCCAAAAAGTGCTTGTTTAGCAAAGAAAAAATCTATTACAAAACAACCATTTTAAAATATTTACTGAACATTTTTAACATTCTAGCAGACACTATACCAAACAAAGCACAATTTAACTTAAAATTAATCAAGTTAGTAAAACAGTATTTTTTGGCCATTTTTGAGACCCCTTCTTGAATCAGTTAGCCTACGTATTTTTTACTGTACAAATAAATGCAGCCTTGCTGAGAAGGAGAGAATTTTTTTTTAGAACATTAGAAAATATTACAGATCCCAATTTGAACACTATGTGTAAGTGTTATAATAAATGTATTAATAATAAGAAAAATAAATAAAATTGGCTAACAAGTAGATAGCACCGCGAGCACGTGTTATGCATAAAAAGACCACAGAAAGAAAGTTAGTCAATACCACACGAAGAGTGCCAGTTTTCACCTCTAAAAATCAGCATGATTACAAATGTGATACTGATTTCATGCAACAGTTCGATAAACAAGAAGTTAATATTAAGAGACTTACGTTTTAGACACCATGCCTGTGTGTGCGCTATTTCACCAACAAAAAATAATTCCAAACACAGCACTGTTTTGTTCATTCGTTCCTGAATGAATCACCCGTTAAATGATTCAGTTCAATCGCAATGACTCACTATTACTTCTTATCCGATTACTCGATGGAATAATCGGTAGAATACTCGATTACTAAAATAATCGATAGATGCAGCCCTAATCGTGTGATGTCATTGTTTGGTACAATTTATTCGGTCTTTTCGCTTATTAATTTCAGTTGCTGAACATTCAGTGCATCCCTACAGATTAGTCTGTGTTATCCAGAAGAGAAGCAGGAGTCAGTACCGATCTAACGATGGACGGCAGGCCCCATTCGGTGCTGAGAAGCCGTTTGCTGTGCAGTCGTCCCCGCTGGTCCACGTTACGGTCCAACACGTCCACGCCAAACACGCTGGTGTTCATGGGGTTTGGGTACTTCTGCATGGCAGCTTTGGTCACGGTTTCCCACGGATGGCTGTGAGAGACACAAACAGAAACTTTAGCATTGCAGGAGCATAAAACACTGTGGACATTCAGGGTCTTTAATTAGAGCTGAAGCGCAATATGACAGTGTGAGACGGAGTTACATAATGCATCCGCATGCATCTGTGCATAACCGTAACACGATCGCTGAGTTAAAGCCATCATGAGCCGCATTACGTCTGCAACTACTACTGGATTTACAACCACAAAGACAATTCTGTAAGAAACGCACAGCCAAAGAGCTCGGAAGAACTAAAATGATGTCAAAAAGACATTGAAAACTACTGATGATTGTTTGCCTTCAACATTAAAAATACACAACTGTGTTCTACATCCAAATGAAACTGATATAAAATCAAAGCTCTTTCACAGGAAATATTCTTAAAAGACACATTGAGTTAACCCTTATGTTGTGTTCCGGTCATTTCTTTTTCCTGAAAATGTTACCACATTAGACTTTGCTCACACATGGTATAACAACTTCACAAACCTCCCAAAAAAAATAATTTTTGTACTTTTTGGGATTAGTTTTTTCTTCACCTTGTTACACTTCAGTTCAAAAATTACCAGCCTACAAAAATTGCTTTTAAATTTCATGTTACGCTATACATATATGGATTTAATCTTTTTATCAACTTGTTTTTTTTCCAATTAGCACAGGTTTTGTGTTTCTTTTTGGAGCTGACTGATCATACGCCTCGTTGATCCTGAACTCAAACTTCAGTTTTTGAGTAAATATTTCCAAAATTATCCACAAATCATGCTTTTTAGACTCAGAAACTGAACCTAAGCTCAGATCGATGAAACCTACAATCAATCAGCTCCAAAAACAAACTCAAAACCTGTGCTAATGGAAAGAAAACACATTGATTTGTGTGTGTGTGTGTGTGTCTTGTCCTGTGCAGCAAGTTGTGTAAGATCTTTTATTGATTAAAAAGATCAAATCCAATATTTGGTAATAATATAACACAATGAGAGATTTACAAACTATTTTTAAAAGGCTAAACATTTTTAAACCAGAAACACCAAATTGCTTAATGAATATGACAATATATTTCACCTTATATAATGTACGTGTATTGTGTTTATTTGTTATTAAATCAACTTGCTATTTTATTTAAAGTGTTTGGGAACAGCATAAACTGCTATAATAGGAAGCGTCTGGCGGCTTCGGCTCAGATGAATGGTTGCCTGGGAGACCGTCAGCGGTCACATGACGCGTGACGTTTGGCGGGAGGTTCATGTAGGGGAAAGGTCAAGGAGAGTTGCGCAATGAGCGGCACAAGACTGGATCCACACACGTGGGGTCAAAGGTCACGGATTCACCTGAACATCTGTAATTCAGCCATTTCATCAGCCAATGTCCACCACAGATATCAAACTATTTTTAAAAGGCTAAACATTTTAAAACCAGAAACACCAAATTGCTTAATGAATATGACAATATATTTCACCTTATATAAATGTACGTGTATTGTGTTTATTTGTTATTAAATCAACTTGCTATTTTATTTAAAGTGTTTGGGAACAGCATAAGCTGCTATAATAGGAAGCGTCTGGCGGCTTCGGCTCAGATGAATGGTTGCCTGGGAGACCGTCAGCGGTCACATGACGCGTGACGTTTGGCGGGAGGTTCATGTAGGGGAAAGGTCAAGGAGAGTTGCGCAATGAGCGGCACAAGACTGGATCCACACACGTGGGGTCAAAGGTCACGGATTCACCTGAACATCTGTAATTCAGCCATTTCATCAGCCAATGTCCACCACAGATATGACAGAACACTAACTAACCAGCAGGGAAGTTAATCGCATGTCCTGCTGACCCACTGAAACCCAAAACCACTAGTACTGACGCTTCTGAAGAACAACTAGAATTAAAACTGATGAGATCTAATCTTTATTGAACAAAAACTGAAAACAGAATAGTCAAACTCAGCATTATCATTCTGGTACTAGTCTTTCAGCTGCCAAGGACATAGCGGTTAGCTTGTGTAACTAACGGTTAGTACTTCACAACTGTTTATCTAACTTACTGCATTTAAGAACAAAAACTGAAAACAGAATAGTCAAACTCAGCATTATCATTCTGTACTAGTCTTTCAGCTGCCAAGGACATAGCGGTTAGCTTGTGTAACTAACGGTTAGTACTTCACAACTGTTTATCTAACTTACTGCATTTAGCAAACACTGGGTGTTTGGCTTTAGTATGTAGTAGTTATAGTTATTCATCGTTAGTTACTAACGTTAGTCGTCAGTTGTTTCGATGAAAGTCATCGACTGCAGATTCTGACTAACTACATTAGCATAACTAAAGTTACTAAATCAACTTTTACATTACTAACACTTTTGGTACTCTGAGGTTATATCATTAGAATCGTAAAAAATACAGTGGATATATGAAAATATTGGTTTTAATAAACTGACAGGAAGCCGTTGGACGCATTGCCGCCTCGTGTGACGTCACATTCCCTCAGACGCGCTAAAACCCGGTCAAACAGCTCTCACACGATCACTCCACCGCAATCAAACGACAAATAACACCTTCACTCACTTGAAAACGTGTTCTGACGTCCAGATCTTCATGGCTCTTGTTGTATTGTAGAGGTTTAATGCGCGAGAGCCGCTGGGAGACACCGCGCCGCTTCCGCCGTTTGACCGAGAACACTGCCGCTCAGGCCCCGCCCACCGATGACGCACGCACCAGCGCAGGACGCGCTCCGACCAATCAGAGACAAGCGCTCTGAATGGAAAAATCTCCCGCCCCGAGAATGTGCTCATGTATGGAACAGCAATTAAAGTTCACTCGGGAACAGAACATGATGACAGGTGTTTCTAGCGCACATACTGTACAGGTGTAAATGATGAGCAAGGTTACGCGGCCTCATTTCTCTCAAAGACCAAACACTTGAAGGAGGTCGTTCATACATCACGTGACATGAGAAGGTCACTTTTAGCTTCAAGTTAAGATATGTATTATATGTGTGTGTGTGTGTGTGACCATGGACCACAAAACCAGCCATAAGGATAATTTTTGTGAAATTGAGATGTATGCATCATCTGAAAGCTGAATAAATAATCTTTCCATTGATGTATGGTTTGTTAGGATAGGACAATATTTGGCCGAGATACAAGACTTTTGTAGTAAAAAACTGCTTGTAAATCTCTGATTATACTATATTATCTACTATATTTTTGTCAACTCATTTTCTTTTTTTTAACACAGGTTTTGTATTTCTTTTTGGAACTGATTGGTTGATCTGAACTTCAGTTTTTGAGTGAATATTGACAAAATTATCCACAAATAATGCTTTTATTCACTCAAAAACTGAGGCGCATGAGCTCAGATCAAATGAGGCCTACGATTAATCAGCCCCATAAAAGAAAAAAACACGAAACCTTTGCTAATTGAAAGAAAACAGGTTGACAAAAAAGATTGAATCTGATATTTTGTGATAGTATATAGCATAACGAGAGACTAATAAGCAATTTTGTAGACTGGTCGTTTTTGAGCAGGAACAACACAAGTGGGGGGGAAATCCCAAAAAAGTACAGAAATGATTATTATTTTGAGCAAAGTCAGTAAGTTTCAGTGCAATGTGATGATGTTAACTAGCATTTTCAGCAGATCAAAATGACCAGAACACAACACGAGGTTAAGAGTTTCACCAGGAGCTTTTAGACCAAAAGCTTTTTAAGTTCACAAGAGACATACATTTAGTCATCTTTGACTAGATGGTGAACAAAAATAAACCAGCAGCATGTGACATACATACGGCACACGATGAGCACATGCCAAGCTTGCGTCTCGTGTTCAGAGTTGGTTGAAATATTTAATGTTTAGTTATATATCCTGATGCTCTGACTCAGCTCCAGCACTGTCACTGTGACACTGTCACATTTGCACATCACATTTCATAATCACTGATTAGACTCATAAAGTCGGTCTGCTGTAGACATAAGCTACACACCTGGTTCTGAGCCAAACACCCTTTCAAATGAAGCGTTACACATCATCATCATCATCATCACACACAGCATTCGTTCACATCTGAGCTCTCATACACCACTGCATGTGCAAAATAACACAGCTGCCGCCGTTTAGAGTGAGGAAAGATGCTCAAACTCACCTTAGAATCAATATTTCAGAAAAACTCAAATCACCAAAACCCCAGCTGACATTCAGCAACATGCCTTATTCAAATACACAAGTTTATTATTTTATAGTCATCACTACATTATCCTCACCCTTTGAAACAGGACTGGATTTGATATGCCTTCAGTGGGTCGTATTATAAAGTGGAAGCTCTTTAACACTGTATAGGTTCAATATGATCAACTGGACATCTTCAGAAAACCAGGTTCTGTTTTAATGGGATGTTAATTCTTGATTACTTTCATTAGTGAGAATCACGCGCCCTCTGCTGCTGATGAGATTGAATGCTTTTCTAGTCCATGTCTATATACAGGATCTGTGTTTTTCATTAGGGAGATGTGTTTGCAACAAAAAAGGAAAATGATCTGAAACATATATGGTATATACGATTATAATAACTATGTTTCTGTTAAAGATTTAGTCATTTAAGCAGCTTGTATTGATCATTCATGTTATCAATGAATTAATAATATTGATAAATATGAATATTAAAAAACTACTGGAAACAGAATATTAGTAGTTCAAGACAAATACTGGATGGATGTCACATTTTTAATTTTTTATTGTTAATTAATATTATAAAATAAAAATTATATTTAAGTAATGATGTATAAATTTAGGCTGAAGTAATTACATATTTAAGGGTGAAGATATTATACCATGTTAAACAAATCCTTCTGATTTTCAAACGACCTGTAGATATTTAATTTTAGTATTAACTAATATTTCAGCTTCAGTCGTTGAGAAGGCATGAGGATGATTTGCCCAGTAGGTGGCGCTGCTTTCATTCTGTTAACATTCAGGTGTTGGTCTGTTTTGGATGATGAGTGTGTGTGTGTGTGTGTGTG